AAAATTAAAAACAAGAAGACGAGCTGTATGGTTGATTCGTCAGCATAAAGAGATTGTTAAAAAATTTTGTGATACGCCAAAACAAGTATTGGGTCTGTCTCTGCCAGAATTTAAAGAAAGAATTAGAATATTGCAAAGTCTGGAAATCAATGTTGAAGATGCACTGGTTATTGCTTTATCATATCCATCATGTCTGTCATTCAATTCACCAAACATGTTCTCAATGGTTTCACTTCTAAAAATGTATGGTTGCTACCTTCCAAAGCATTTCATGAAAAATCCTTATGTTTTTTCACTAGACACTAAACAGTGTGAGTCAAATCTAGAACACCTTAAGAACATTGGATTGTCTTTGGAGAGTATTGGTAACCTGATTGATGTTGATCCAATTGTGTTGACTGTTCCATTATGCTACAAAGCTGAGGAATTTGCTAAACAAGCTGGAAATTATCAATCATCAAGCAATATTCTGAGATTAGCTCTAAAGTCATCATTACTTAAATCTGGAGAACAAGTTGTTTTAAATGAAGATTTTAATCAAGTTGTTTCATTTCTCAATGAACTAAAAATTGACATTTCAAAATTGATGCAAAAATGTCCTGAGTTCCTGTGTACAAGTTATGAGAGCTTGTGCGAAACATACCAATTCCTCTGTGGTGCCCATTATACTGTGAAAAAAGTCATGTTAAGAAACTGCTCAAGTCAAACCCACATGCATTTCTCCAAATGAACAAATTGTCATTCCAACAAAGCATACAAAGTCTTTCACAGATAATTGACAGTAACATAAAACTGTATACATTGCTGCAGAAATCACCCATGTTATTTGTTGGCAGTTCATCAATTCTGCTTGAAAGGATTGAATTATTGAAACAACACCAATTTTCTCAAAAAGAGATAATGGGCCTACTAGAGAGGGCTGCATTTGTATTCAGTGATGAAAATTCATCAAGCAATCTGGAGAAAAAACTACATTTGTTGCTTTCTACTAATGATATTACAACTGGCCAAGTTTGCAAGTCAGCATTCATTTTGCGAATTCCTTTGGACAAGATACAGAAACGTTTGTTTTTTATAAGGTTTAGAAAACCTGATGTCTTGAGATTATACTCATTAAATGAAATCTTTTTCAGTGGTAATCAAACATTTGTTGATGAAATGTGTGGCTCCACAATAACAGAATATCTTAGTATAATAGATGTATTAGATCCAATTTAATGATCCTAAAAAGAACATTTTAGAAAATATATAATTGTAAAATAAGATTCCCATTGTGGCATATCTTGTTCTTGGCACTAGCTCACATATAGTAAAACTACATAAAAGGGTAACTTGTAATATTGTCATTTGATCTAGATCTTGTCAGTATGTTAGGTAACATGGTGACAAATAAATGATGCAAATACAAAATGAAGGATAAAATGTTAAAAAAATCATTGTGAGTAATATGCAACTGAACAGGTATGGCAGGAACAATTCACCTTATTTCATTCTTTTTTTAAAGCCTTTTTTCCCCACCGTTGAGTTTCAGCTTTCCATCCATACATCTTAAGGGCATCATAGCCTATCATGTTTGTCCCAGGCATGTTGCATTTGTTACTTGGCCCAATTGTTGGGGGATTGAGTGCTCCTCTTGTTTATGGTTCACACTGTGGTGAGGGAGAATTGGACAATGAAGGAATCATCCAATGTCATCGTCTCATTGAAGAACTGGCAACCACACTGTTAAAATTGTCTCAAAAAGCAAACTTTAGCTCATTGGAGAAGCTTCAAAATTTGCAAGACCATGTTTCTATTTAACACTTCCAAAAATATCTGGTCTAATCATGCCAAGTTATTGTTCAAGGGACACGAAATGTGAAAACCCACATTTATATGATGCAAATTAAGATTTTTGGATTGGGCCATAATTTATGGTATATTCTTCTCTATTGTGTAATTTTTCCTCTTAAACAACCCCAGAAATATGCCATTTTTCCTTTCAGGAAAAGCCAATTGCAAATATCAATTGTGAAACCCATTATATAACACACATTATATATACAAACATGAACATTATCTGAACTGATATTTTATTTTGCCAACATATTGTTTAGATGATGAATTCATATGGGATTGGTTCAAGAAGTTCTGGTTCCTTTCCTCGGTTCTTTACGAAATGGGATTCTCTTGGTGCCACAGGCTAAAGAAGAATACAAGACCAAATAATCATAAAAATTCTTTATTTTTGTATCTTATATGAGGGGCAAGTTGAGATATCGTTTGTCAGAACAGAAACCCAATCCTGTACAAGCCTCGAAGACAATATTATCAATATCATATAACACCTTGAAAAATTGATATTAATAAAATTTAATAAATGAAATTACCTGACGTTTTAAGTTAACCTTTATTCCCTTTTCTTGGGCCTCTTTTTTCTTCTGATCATTTTCCTTCACACGTCTATAGTACATTATTTCAAATAATTAGACAAGTACTGATAGTATATAGTATATAGGCTAAAATGCTGCTTTTTACAAAAAACCAACAAAGCAGTCAAAGTGTCAAAAAGGCAAAGTTACCTCAAGAAATCATCGCGGCATTTTGAATGACGTACATGCTCAATTCTGACATTGATTCGTTTTGCAAATATTCTGCCTCTAAGTTAACATAAAAAAGATATTTAACAATTTTATTAATAACTTTCAGTCAAGGCCTATCACCTAAATTTACATGTAAGTAATTATTACCTATAAGCAGTTGGACCACTGTATTGCATTATAATGAAGTAAAATTGTGTTTATCATTTTCAACTTTATAGTAAATGCACTTACTTTACTTGCTTGTTGACAATTATGCCTAAACCACGTTTTGTCACATTGAACACTCGTCCAGTCTTACCATGGTATGATTTGTGAGGCATACCTTTCTGTACAGCACCATCACCCTATTAAAAAAAATGAAAATGTCATGATAATAATAACAAATATACCTTTATTGACAATATAGAGCAATACAATTTGAACAAAAATTTATGACATTTTCTTGGATGTGACTTTGAACATTATTTCTGTTTACTCAAATTGTATAGTCAAATTGTAAGTAATGAAATTGATACAATATTTCAGAGATGCCTCTCTTGCCCCACCTGTATCAATTTCATTGCTATAGGTTTGTTTTGATTGCATAACCCGGTTTGTTTTGGCTTTAGGTAAAAAATTATTTTTGTATTATTAAAAGGAATTCCTCTGCAGTACCAACCTTGATATCAACAATGTCTCCCATCTTGTAAACCTTCAAGTATGTTGACATTTTGACTGGCCCTAACAAGAATTTGGCCAAATATTACTAACAAATATGTACGATGACAAGACCAAGAGGAGAAAAATACTACAGCTTTATGTTTTTTTTCGTTTTTACCATGTTTTCTGAACGCTCTTGAGAACATATAACGTGTTCCTCTTCGTTTTCCTTTTGGGTTAGTCATTTCTAATTTTCGTCTTTATAGCCTGTGAAAGAAATAAAAACAAATGATATACTAAGAAGAACTGAAATTAAAGTCCAAATGGTAAAATAAGCGAAAATATTGTCTACCTTTCACACGTGCAACAATATGGCGGCCAAGATGGCAAAAAAAGAACGAGACGGTCGTGCCCAGGCCACATAGGCGTTATTGAGAGTTCAAGCCAGTGAGTTCAAGCAGTTCACTGGTGTCAGTGCCCAATGTTCACAAGTCACAAGTGAATCACAGTCACCGGGTATTGAGAGTAATAGATACACAATCAAAGTGAATATTTCTCTTTCAATTTTTCTCTTTGATTGTCTATGGTTTTACTTACGCAATCGGGAATAGACACGGCAGAGAACCACTGACAGAGTCCACGTTGATGACGTAGACAGACGTCCCAGTTGAAAAAATACTTGAAAACCGTTGTAAAAATACTTGAAAAGCACAAAAATACAGCTTTAGAGCTAAAATTTTTAAAAAGAATCCTTAATTCAAGACTGCTAAAGGGTGGTTTAATCAATGTTATACCTAAATTTTAAGGCGTTTGAAAAAGCAACAATCTAACCAGCTTTCGTACAACCCGTATGTCACCAATCTGAACTGATTATTACTGCGTCGCGCACTGCGCGAACGCAGTCTAAAATTGCCGTTGGTGTTTGTTTGTTTGTTTTTTTTTCGTGTTTTTTACGTTTTTGACCCGGTCTTCCTGGCCGCGCAGGCAACTAAGATACTCGTATTTTGAACTCGTCTGATTTCGTATCGAAATATTTTTGTGCTAAACACACTTCAAATAGTAATCTAAGCCTAATAACCCCACAAAAGAAATATTTTACTGAAACAAAAATTGAAAAAGTTTGTTGTCACCAGGATTCGAACTCGGGTCGTGCGAACCAAAAGCAGGAAACTGCATGCACGATACACGTCATATAAAATAACACGTACACGAGTCGCTGTGCATGGCCGATAGTGCAGGAAATCTACTATTAATCTAGACGTCTGTCGTTCGAGAAAATACGTACAGGTAATCGTAATGCTGGATTCTCGTCTTGTCTTGTTTGATATGCTCACTCTGGATACACTAGCACACACTGATCATGGTAAACCTACACTAAAACGGGTTTAGAGACAACGATCACATGAATCATGAAAGCCTTGTATGCCATGAAAGCCTTGTATGCTATGAAAGCCTTGTATGCCATTCTATGCCATTCTTCAATCACACCGCACCTTCCTTTCAAGGGTAAAAACGGCCAGACCGATCCTATTGAATTTCAGTACAAACAGATTCCTAGAGTACATGATTCCAAACTCAGTCTTATTCACGTATATCGTTAGCTACGTCTGCCTAGCACCAATAATGCAGTTTTACCCCTATATTCTGTACGAAGTGCTCTATTTACTAGAAACCCTAAGAAAGAAACATTTTTCTAAAGGAATAAATATTGACAGGAAATATTGCATGCAACGATTGGCGCGACGCAGTTACCGCCAGAATTGGCGTCTTGTTGATTGATCGTTTCAAGACAGGCACTGACGAATGACAAAATCATTTCACCGGCAACTAACATGTCCTGGGGTTATAACTTATTTATGCTATGCATATCAGATTACTGTCTACCAAGAGAGGCCCTGGGTACCACGATGCAATCTACCTATAACGCACTATTTATTCGTACAGAAAAACTCGAGAATAGAAGAACAGAAAAAGCAGAGAATATATTGCATCATTAGCGATATTGGTCAATGCTGAATTGTTCTTATATTGTTTGTGTTTGGCTTCTGATGAAGATCCTGGCATGGATCGCAGGCTCTGGTTTCGAGATCGAAGATCTGTTTATTTTGCGCAATGGTGCGCTTATGCCTCCCGGTGATGTTTCGATTCCTACAAAATATGCAAATATTTTGTGTTTTGTTCATGACGCACTAAAATGCGAAGAATAAGTTTGAAATCACTCAGAACAGAACAATATAATTGCTGTGATCGTATTTCAACACCCGGTGGAATACAGGCGTAACAAGCTCCTTGGTTAAATATGTCAAAAAATTAATATTTAATTTGCGACGGAATCCGGCAAAAAAAAGGCGTATCTAAGTTCGATTGTTATTTCATCATCTCATGAACTAAATATGGGCGTTTTTTCTTATGTTCGGTGCAATTTCTTGCTGGTATTTTACGGCATTTTGTTAACGTGTCCTACAGTTTGCTTCGCTGTTACTGAGGTCGACGTACTCATCCTAGGAGCTGGTATCTCAGGAATCACTGCGGGAAGTTACCTCCAAAGCAACGGACAAACGAATTTTCTCATCCTCGAAGCACAAGATTACGTCGGTGGTCGTGTGAAGCAGGTTAAAATCGGCGGTTTGACAGTAGGTGATGGTGCAAACTGGGTACATTATGTCGAGGATGGAGATGAAAATCCAATTCTGGTAATCGCAAATAAAATTAATCTCACGAGATATTCGACGAACATCAGCGATTTCACTCTGAGGTAACGTGACATTTACTTTATGCTTAATCATGCCAACAATGATCCTATTCTTCAGATAGGAATTCAGACTAGTTGTTGCTGTTTAAATTGAACAGCTCTATCGGTTTAAGAAAATCTTTATATTGAATAGGCGTGTGTCTCGTTCAGTCGTCAGTGTGTTATTCGAGTGAAAATATAACTAAATATAGGAAGAAACCAAGGCTTCATGTTTGCAGAATATAGCTCACTTAATTCATTCAAGATGTCTTCTGGAATGTCAAGTCAAATATGCGCAAGACTAGAGACTTGGATTAGTTGTGACAATTGACAAAGTCTATGTCAACTTTTTATCTACAGGAACTCTATCCACCAGAATAAGGAACTTGGCAAGGCTTATAAAACCGTCGAAAAATTGGGAATGAAACTCACTGAGCAAAACGAGAACAATGCGCAATTGAGTGGGGACGAGCCATTGAGTTCAGTTTTTGCCCAACACGGCTGGATGCCAGATACAGCTTTGAAACGAACAGCCGAATGGTGGTACTTTGATTATGAATATGCTGTGAAACCTGCACTGTCCTCTTTCCGACACTTTGGAGGCATTCCCATGGAAAATGAGTATATCACGGACAATCGTGGATTCAAAGGTATCATTGACTATTTATCCCAAAACATCACGGGTAAATTTAAAACAGAAAAGGTCGTAACGCATATAAAGTTGAATACTTCGAACGGAATCGAAGTTCGGACGAGAGATGGTGAAACGTTCAAGGCAAAATATGCTCTTTGTACTTTCAGCACAGGTGTTTTAGCTTCGGATTTGGTAACATTTGAACCAGAATTACCGAAATGGAAGAAAGTTGCTATAAGTAGATTGCCTCTTGCCTATTACACCAATATTTACGTGAAGTTTCCGAGCGCGTTTTGGGATGATACCGAGTTTATTTTGAATGCTGGTTCCTTGACTGAAACATTTCCTCTCGTGTATAACCTTAACATAAAAGATTTTCACCGTGGTTCAAATGTGTTGTTATTCAGTGCAGTTGATGAGAATTCTCTTCGCATTGAAGCACAGAGCAAAAATGCGACAAAAGCTGAGGTCATGAAATCTTTGAGAGAAATGTATCCCAACGTCAATATTCCAGAACCTTTAGGTAAGTGGAGGCAGCATGTTTAACGTTAGTCCTGACACGGGTATTCTGAGGACCTTAGGTTTCCTTTTTTTCTGGCATATACTTGAGAATAACATTGGTGTGGAAAGTTGCAATGAAGCGGGAGCCTAACCATAATATTGAATCCCCATATAACATAGTCAATCAATAACATAGTCAATCATTATTTACCTCTAGAGATGACCGTGGGTAGTTTTAGTCAAAATCCGTACATCCGCGGTTCCTTCAGCAATGCTGCGGTTGGTGCCACCTCAGCCGACTTTAATAATTTACAAGGACGCCTGGGTAACCTTTTCTTCTCGGGGGAAGCGACAAGCGAGAATTATTGGGGATACAGCCAGGCTGGGTACTCTACTAGTTTAAAGCAAGCCAAGGTGATCCACAGCTGTCTCAATGGTGGAGAGTGCCCAGCTTATGAGCCCGAGATTGCTAGTATTTGTGAAAGTAAGAACATTGTTCCTAGTTCGGCGAGTATCGGCCTGTATTCACCTGCTTGTTTCATCTTGATTATTCTGTTTATGTTATTCAACTAACTTGATTCGTCAAACACTTATTGCCACTGATATCTACATTCATTATATGATTGCAAACAATTCGCTAAAATAAAAAGCACTTTTGATTCTGAACGTTTCTGTCTTAGTACTCTTGGTCGACTGTTATACCTTTGGAATTTAAAGTGTTTGTCGGACAACTAGGGGAGGATGGACAATAACCAGAACGCATAAATTGACAGGAAACTCTGCTTTAATATTCAGCATTATATTTCACCGATAACGACTTTTAAAATAGCAATATTTCTAGCAACTCTAATTTGGCCAGCGTAACCGTCGTTCTCCTTATTAATCACCCAGATTTACATGTATATTTTTAAAAGAAATCACGTTGATTTTCATTGGTTGCCGCACCGCAAAAATTTTCATTTTGCGCGACAAGATGTCGCAAAAGCGCGTCATTTGACGTCATTTCAGTGAAGGTGTAAGGTACTTCATATAGCCCTGCTATTTCCGAGATCTCCATTAAATGTGAAACTACCTTTACCTAAAACCTTAGTTTTAAATTTCTCAGAATTACATTTGGCTTGGCCAACTTCAGTGACGCAGATATCCAGAAATATGTCGCAGGCTTCCCAACAAAAAGCAATGCTTTCACAACAATCGTTATTGTTTACTTTTTTGTTGTTCTTTAGCCGCAAAAAACGAATAATGAGTTTGCCTGATAAATTACACAATTAGAGCAATAGAAAAAACTGCATTACTACTTGTGAACTGATTTTCAACCAGTTGCATGCAGAATGTTCTCGATCCAGTTTTACTATACAGGAGGAAACCTAAACTAAACTAACTTTATTTATACAGAATTGGCGTCTTGTTAGATTTAGATCACACAAATATAGTCGCCTGAAGCAGGGGCAGGCCGGGGACGAGACAACGGGAATTCATTTTGGGCCTATAAGGAATGATCATGGATCAGTAATGGTACAGAAATATATTTTTTTTCAGCGATGACACATGTTTAGTATTAATATCAATACGATCGCCCGTATTCATATTTCACATCATACACGAAACGAATTTCAAATTGCTGTATCAGTTTACTTCATGTGACGTCACACAGTGTTTCATGTGTTCTGGTTTCCTCGACTCACGCCCAAATTATTCTGCTCTCAGTGGTTTTGCCGACTGCAAATGATACTTCTGCCCCAAGTGCCGCGCATGAACAAATATATGATTCTAATCAAGGACTATACAAATGTCAATTTACTAGAATTATATTATTATCGATATCTACTAAAAATTACATGACATTGAATGATTGAAACACACATTGTGCTTAAGTCATGAAAGTGGTATTTGGCCAGAGACCAAATCTATCACAATCGAAAATGAATAATGGCATCCACAATGAAAATTACTATGGAAAAGAAACCAAAGACCTAAAATATTAAAAGAAAATAGATTTTATTAATAGTCTGATACAAATTAGCTATTCATGTGATATATAAAAAATTTGGCCAACTATAGGTTTTCAAGAAAGCCAACTGAACAGTTTACAATTATGTATTTACAAATTTGGCATATTGAATAAAATTTGCTCGTGTAAAAGGGGCCTAAAAAAGGTTTCATGAATCATTAATTCAAAACATGTTTTGACCCACAGGACCCACAGGCTTGAATAAAAAATTAAAAGGACTTACTGTTCCCGCAGTTAGCTGCCCACACTGATATTTTGTTTTTTGTACATCCATCCATTTACATGTGCCATCTGAATGATATTGGCTGACAGTGTCTGCTAGTAACGACGAAGCAACTAGTAGTAAGATCGCCAGAACAAGAAAGATACCTGCCGCCTAAAAAACACCATGAATCATAGTGTAAATATTTAGCTTTCTTAGAAAAAATGAAGTAACTATATCGATAGTTCTCTAATTAACAAAAATGATCTACAACTCGGAAATAAATACAAGATGTTTTTTGCATGTGCTGCATGAGCAGCCATGAAGTTTCATGACAAATAATTTTAGTATGGATAAAATAAAGTTTCGTATATATATATATATATATATATATATATTATATATATATATAATATATATATATATACAGTCATTTCAAAAAGGCTGATCTTCCAAAATATATGAACCTTGAACATTGAAGCGTGCAAGGGATGATGGGTAGCAGCTTATTTTGTGCCTTAAGGGTGCAAAAATTGAATTTTAGCAATGGCTACAGCCAGTGAAATGCTGTGTAGGTCACTTTTCATTGTTCCAAGCGATATTTGCGGGATTAAACACCCAAAATAAGTTGCTATCCATCATCCCTTCCGCGCTCAATGTTCAAGATTCATATATTTTGGAAGGTCAACCTTTTTTGAAATGACTATATATATATATATATTATATATATATATATATATATATAATATATATATATATATATATATATATCTATAAGACTATCTTGAACATGAAGTTCGTCCGGGAGAAGAGCATGAAGAAAGAATTAGAAGTAAAGAAGTTAAACAGGTCCACACAATAAAAAATCCATTATTTCTAGCTCAATCGAGTCTCTCACCCAGATTTGGGTTTACCAGCTCTCGCAAGTGGGGTGGCAAAAGTTAGAAGCAATTGCATTATTTCAGAAATCGCGCCTATCATTAAGGGAACTACACATGACTAATGATCGAGTATAAATGAGTATACACGTACCGTTCTTGCCCAGTTAAAAGCGTCGATTTTTTTATGCGCACCAGTTAGAAAGATGAGAAAAAACAGCAGTGCGATAACAGCTGAAGCTGCGGCTGCGCCAACGAAAAATTTCAGATTATCCCTTTTGTCGAAATCAAAATCTGGTGCGTTGTTGAGAAAGTATCCCACTGGACCAATAGAGACCAGAAGAAGAATCTATAAAAATACATTAAGTCTCAATAGCGTGACAAAAACCCCGTCATGGCGATGGAATTAAATAATTAAACAGCTTTAGGTCTAGATGAGAATAAATGACTTTATTAAAATTGGTCTGTGATGACTTTATTAAAATATTAAAATTTATTAAAATTCAAGGGCTGAGAAAAATGATAAAATATGTTACTAAAAACAGGAAGTAAACTCTAAAACCCTGTCCAAGGGTTAAAATATGTACTATTTACAAAGTTGGAATAAATTAATTGATTTGATAGCTCTAGATCCATGCAATGACAATATTTTGGGCGCTTCCATTAAGCGGCCAAAATGGTCAGACCGGGCGTATTTTAAATTGAAATAGAGTATTTCGTTAAGAATATAGCGATGAAACTATATTTCCGAGTGCAGAGTTTTGAAACATTCTAAAATACTAGTAATCTGCCTGTACCGAAATACAACAGGACCGGACTTGCCGTTTTTTCAGTATAAAGAAAAGCGCCCTTTGATTCACTCAAATGAGCCGGTGCTTGACAGTCAAAATGTTGTATTAAAAGTATAGTAACTGTGGTAGGACTAAGCCGGTATACCCAACCCAATGGTTAACTCAGCAACTCGTTTTAAAAATCTGAATAGAATTAGGCCAATGTACCACACATCTTACAATTTCCAAGATCTTCAAAAAACTTGGCAAAGATTTTAAATATTGCATTCCTTCATTGATACCAGCCATGATTATCAGTGAACCTGTTAAAAAGCGATTGATTCATAAGTTGTATAAAAGTAGTCACATCTGATTTAAACTATAATCAATTCAAATGATTCAACATGTTATAAAAAGATATGCCAATTGCCAAAGCCTGTCCGTAGGACCTGATGAGGGATACAGACGGTCATGAAGAGAATCACAAACTAGCGGCACTGCTACATGTTTTACAGACGCGTCTTAAACACCAGGACAAAGGCAGTATGCAGAAAAAACAGACCCAGCAGTTGGTTTCCATTTTACATTCGCTGAATCAGCGCCTTCTCGGTCACCGTCAATGACGAACCAAACTTTGTATAATTCCTGCCACTCATATACTGAGCGAGCCCCAGCATTGAGCAAATGAAGTAGAGTAGACTTTGTAATAGACAATTTAGACTGTATAACCACAAAATTTATGATAACCACCAACCTTAATTTGTCACGATTTTCCGTTGTGGCTTGAAGAATGATAATCAGTCAACTATAAAGCATTAAGCGCTTTTAATTAACTGTAGGAACTCGAAAGAGAAATTGACGGGGCATGGACTGAGTGTGATATAACATTTCAGGTCGATGAGATTTAAACACGTGATGCATTAGTATAAAGAAAAAAATGCTAATAAAACGTTTCTGGTTTTGCATACGATTTGCGACATTGCTATAGTGATTAGGATCAGTGTAATACAGATACATTGCAAACTACATAACTACAGTTCTAGTTTTTTGATCGATTAGTGGTGGTTTTAGAGACTTTCCCTTATTTCCTGTTGACATATTTAAAGTGGGTCAGAAAATGTTTCAGTTTAACAAGTTTTTACCGGTTTTCTTGGAATTATGAAATGTTGATGACGTATCACCATGAGTATTAACGAAAATACGAAATATGAAGATGGCAACGTGTTGTCCTTTTATGAATTGTATACTATAGGAAGCACCTGTTACTCTTACGTCCTCTTATGTGATCAGCCCACAAGGGCACGTTTCGAAGGAAAATACTCTTGTACAAGTAATTTGGCTAATTTCGACAGTGGCTGTTCCTCTATGCAAATCTGCTATACCAATGTGAAACTATTAAGTCATGTATTTCCGGGCCGGAAGGGTTGAGCGTTTTAGTTATAATAGTTTTTATATTCGACTTTCGTCTTTTATCTTACGGACCATATAGGTGGAGGTAATTGAACAGAGCAACAGTGGTAAAGCGGTGTAAAGTGGTGTTCATTTTGTGACACCCATGACATTTTCACGACCGAATTCAGTTACAATTAAATTTGAAACCGGCATAACTGACGTAGAAAAGGTTTAGAACTCTTTCTGCAGGAGTGCAAAATTCTGTAAGATTTGAAGCATTAGGAGGTTTTTGAAGATTTTGTACAAGGACAACTTTAACGGCAATTACTAACCCGCAGAGAGTTCGCTCGCGCATTTTCGCAATTTGATAGGAAATTCCACCTGGGAAATTCATTCTTTAGCACGCAACTCACAAATATTACCAGCACACAAGAATAAAATAATTCATAAGTTGTCCTTTAGGGACTTGAAATGAAATCTATGAATATCAATATCATTATATTAATCTGACACGTGTATTCCT